CTGCATCCCAGGAAGCTGGAAGAACCTGGACTACTTGCCTGGTTCAGAGACTCACCTTTCACCACGTTCATCCCCTGTCAGGTTTATGGTGCCAGTAAAATGGAAGAAAACCATAAAAGACAATGAACTGATGTTTCTGTGACCCAAAGTTCTATCTACTGCTGAGTCGACGAACCCAATACAATTTAGCTGAGTTCCTTATATTGCTTGCTGATTTTTTTTTCTGGGGCACCATACTGTGAAATCTGAGCAGAAAATCCATATGAAGTTTTATTTATTGCCATATGGATTTCTGTGAAAAAGCTTAAGAAATGACTTTTTGGTGGTGCTTGTTTCCCCCTCTACCAAATGCTGAGTCCCTAGTTGCTGATCCAAGCATGGCTTTGTGGGACACTTTGCCCCCATTTCATTCCTGGTGGGTGTCAGGGCCCCTGACTATCTGTAAGATGTGGTCCAGGTTCCATCAGGTCCATCCTGTCCACTCCAGGAAAGATGGGTCTCTTCAGGACCCAACACTGTCCCACCTCCAGGTCATTGTCTAGGCAAATCCCTGCCTGAAAGGCCACTCCCATCAACATCCCAACCCAACTTGACCTGCAATATTAATAATAGCTACTGTTCATAAAGAAAGCTAAGACCACTGGCAGGAAATGCATTGTCTTGCAGCTCTAAGACACTGGAGATCTGCCTCAGGTGAGCCTGCTCTCTACGCAGCAACTGATCCGTTTCAGGGCCAAGCTTCTCAGGATCACCTTCATCTTCTTTAAACTGGCTCCTTTCATGGTACCAACATGGCTATGGGAATTTCAAGGCTCTCATGCTTACATCCTTGGGCCCAGGGAGAAAATAGCATCTGTCCTGGTCCTTGTAAGTGAAAGTACTGAGTCTGTTCTAATGGGACTAACCTGGAGAATGTGCCTGAACTGATGATCCTCATGCTTGGAGAAGACTCAGACCTGATTCTTGCTCAGTCTTTCTGAAGTTGCTTCATTTACCAGGTCCCTTGCTATCTCTTCCCGTGGATAAACTTGCCAACTCCTCACATCAGCTAATGAGAGTGTGCTGTTGTTGTTACTGTTATATTCCGTGTATGGGCCAAGGTCACTCACTTTCTCTAAGCCTCCGTTTCCTTAGCTGCCAAAGAACAGTGATTCAATCAGCTCTACAACTTCCCTTCATTTTAGTAACAATCAGTGATTGTGTTTCCTGGGCATATACTAACTGCGTGACCTTGTGCAGGTCACTTGACCTCAGTGCCATGTTCTCCTCATCCTTGAAATGGGCACAGCATTGCCTTCCCTGAAATATTGTCTTAATGATGGGACAGTAAGTATGAAATATCCTTAGCAGGATGCCTGGTACATGCAGAAGCCAATGTACATTGCCGCAGCGGTTAATTACAATTCCAAATATATATAAAAACACACAGCCAGAATAAGAGTATTACCATCCCTGGACCCATCGAGCTCTGGTCTACCCAATACCCCCAAACTCAATCCAACCTGTGTGGCAATTACTTTGGAGACAACAGTCAGCTAAGAAGCCAGTTGGTTAAGCCTAGTCTCAATGCATGAGTCACGAGTAGCCTTCTACCCTCTCTAGACGCTATCAATCCCCTCAGCCCACTCTGGTCTCCTCATTTCTGGAGGAGAAGCAGAGACTTCAAGTTACAGAAAAGAGCCCTAGGGGGCAAAGGCTGGGGGTGGGCTGATTCCCTAATCTCAGAGCTGCTGCCTGAAAGCGACTTTATGCATCATCTCATCCCACCTCCTCCATTGTACAGAGGAGGAAGCAGAGTCCCAGAGAGGGAAGTGACTCACTCCAAATCACACAGCTAATATGTGGTGGAATCTAGACTCAGACTTCGCTAAAAATATCAACTGCAGGAAAATGTCAACTGAGGACAGAGCCAGAAGTGCCAGCGTCCATTCAGCTGCCTGTCTCTCCTGCCAACATTGAAGATGTGAGGAGGTCTCCATGGCCACAACTATGCCCTCACAGCATCAGACCCTTGAATGTGATGCTGCAGGTAGGACTCCTGTCACCAGAAGGTGCCTTCAGGTGTGAGGAGAACAGGCATCCAAGGCTGCCCACTGTGAGTTCACCCCAGAGCCAATGAGGCAGAGATGCCCCACAGTCCACAGGGAGGAAGGAGGCTGCCAGTCCCTGCCTGGTGACAGGAACACATGTGAAGGACACATTCGTTGAGAGCAAAGGCTGGTCCCAGAGGAACGTGGGAAGGAGGCCACAGAGCTGCATGGTATTGCCTGGCAGGTACCACCCAGATCGAGTGTTCTGACCTCCAGACCCCGGCAGCCCCGGATCCTGATTTGGAGGCATACCTGGGCACCCTCTTCATACTCTGTGCTCAACCTCTGCTCACTGGAACCGAGCATGCAAGTAACAATGAAAGTAGCTGCTGGGCTGGGCACGGTGACTCACGCTTGTAATCTCAACACTTTGGAAGGCCGAGACAGGCAGATCACCTGAGGTCAAGAGCTTGAGACCATCCTGGTCAACATGGTGAAACCCCGTCTCTACTAAAAATACAAAAATTAGCTGAGCATGGTGGCGCACGTCTGTAGTCCCAGCTACTCAGGAGGCTGAGGCAGGACAATCGCTTGAACCCAGGAGGTGGAGGTTGCAGTGAGCCGAGATTGCACCACTGCACTCCAGCCTGGTGACAGAGTGAGACTCCGTCTCAAAAAAAAAAAAAAAAAAAAATTGGAGGAAGAAAGTAGCTGCTGAACATTGTTGATGGGAAAGCAGATGGTATCACCACTGTGGAAAACAGTATGGTGGCTCCTCAAAAGAAAGATTAAAAATAGAACTACTGTATGATCTAGCAATTCTGCTTCTGACTATTTATTCAGAAGAGTTGGAATCAGGATCTCACAGAGATACCCACAGCAGCATAATTCATGATAGCCATGATATGGAAACAACTTAGATGTCCATCAGTGGATGGATGGATAAAGAAAACATGGTATACTGAATTGCTAGATCTTACAGTAGCTCTATTTTTAATACCCAACAGAATGCGATTCAGCCTTTAAAAAGAAGGAAATTCTGTCATTTTTAACAACATGAATGAATCTGGAGGACATTATACTAACTGAAATAAGCCAGATGCAGGAAGACAAATACTACATAATTCCACATATGAAGTACCTAAAATAGTCGAATTCCTAGAATTAAAGAGTAGAATAGTAGCTTCCAGGGGTTGGGGGAGAAGAAATGAGGAGATGCCAATTAATGGGCAAAAAATCTCAAGCAAAACGAATGCATTCTAGGGATCTGCTGCACCACACCGAGCCTATGGTCAATAGTACTGTACTGCACACTTAAAAGTTTGTTAGGAGGGTAGATCTCATATTGTGTCCTTACCAAAATTAAATGAAACTAATTTAAAAAAAAAAAAAAAAAACTTAAACCAAGAAAGTAGCTACTGAATTTGAGCATCTAGGTTCCAGGTGCTGTGCTTTTAAATCACAGAGAAGTCATGAAAAGTGGTGGGAGAATTTTAGGTCGGGAGATGGAGGCTCAAAACTGATGGCAGAGCCAGAGAGTGGCAGAATGGAGACATGAACTACATCTGCCTGGTTGTACCACTTAAGTTATGCTGTGTGTTGTGCTACATCCAAACTGCTTTTCATTCTTGTGAGGTAGTCATTTTACATGTGCGCCTATGCTTTTAACGGAGGAGCTCATTGTGAAATAAAGAACGACATAAAGAAATTTGAGGGAGAAAATAAATGTCCTCATAACTTTTTCACCCACAGACAACCAGTGGTTAATAATAGGGATTTGTCTCCATCGTTAATTTCTCTGTCCCCCCCCCTTTCAGTCACACACACACACACACACACGCATGCACACACAGCTGGTGTCATATTGTATATACATTTTGCAACGTGCTTAAAAATGAACAGAGTATTGACTGCATTTTCTAGGTCATTAGTTCTTCTCCTAAATGTCATTTTGCATCATCAAATAACTTGCATTATTGAGGTGTACAATAATGCATTTTGCCCACTACACAGCATTGTGTCATTTCTAGTCTCATTTATAAAGTACACATGGATATGTACTTGTGCATATCCTTGATTTATCTCCTTAGAGCAGAACTAGATGTGTAAGAGTGCCTACAGGGACAGAATGAGCTGGCCACATGAAAGCTGTTTCCTGTTTCTACTGTAACTTAATGGAGTGTTACATGTGTTACATAACCAGCCCTATGCAAGGGACTAACGTGACCCCCTCTGAGCAATGAATGACCTCTCCGGATCCAACAGCACTACATTTTGAGTCCACAAGTGCCTGGACTCCAGTGAAAGTATCAACATGCATTTGCACTGTAAAGTCTCGTGGCTGCCTCTCCAGGAAGATGACAATTTTTTTGTTTCTTTTTTCCTTTTGTTTTTTAAATAGCTGGTATGAGTAGAAAATAGCATTTTTAGTGGCTCTCTGCTTTTTATTTATCCTTATAGGCTAACCTCTTAAGAAGAATTTCTTCTTTAGGAGGAATCCCATATTTCCCAGATCAGTCAAGCCTGTGCATGTTTTACTGCAGGTAAAAGAAGGTGCAACATGCATAGCTGTGGAGAACATCTTTATTTTTCCCACAAATTCTTCTGATGTCCTTTACTTTACCTAGCAGAACCTGCCCCGAGATTTCCACTTCTCAGGTATAGTTCAAACATCAACATTTTCAACAGAATATGCCCGGAATTCCCCAAGATATATGTGTCCTACTCAATATTCCAACCACCATTTTACCATTTTCTGCCTCCACCTTCTATCTTTCTGCTGAGGACAGTACACGCTTCAACCACCCAAGTCACAGAGGACACACATTAAGGCCAGTTACACAGCCCAGGACACTTCTTTTCCCCCACTCTAATTGTTTCCAGGCAACATAATAGTAGCATACAGCTCCCCCAAACCCAAGTCCTCTGTCCCATTCCCTTGAAGGAGTGTGATAAAAGGAAGATTCTTACCTTTTCACCCTTTTCCCCTCGGCCAAAAGGTCCTATGCCCTAGAAAAATGAAAGAAGAAGGCAAAGATTCACTACAGAGCATCTCCATGGCATGACATTGCAAATGGCAGCATCATCCTGAGATGTGAAAGGATTAGATATTTTCTCATCAGCTCTGCCTCGTAGCCACTAAAAGAAATGATGACTATTGTTAACTGAGTGTGCATTTTCATGAGTATCATCTCACTTAATGTTTCCAATAACTCAATATTATAGTTACTCTTCTTTGTTTCCATAACAGTTTCACTGAAATATAATTTGCATACCATATAATTTACCTACTTAATATGTACAGTTCAATGATTTTTAGTGTATTTATAAAGTTGTACAACAAAATCCCCACAAGCAACTTTAGAATATTTTTATCACCTCAGAAACAACCCGTATCTATTAGCAATGACTCCATACTTCCTCTACTCCAGCTCTAGGAAAATATTAATCTATTTTCTGTTTCTATAGATTTGTCTATTCTGTACATTTTTTATATAAATGGAATCATATAATATGTGGCCTTTTATGATTGGCTTCTTTCACTCAGCAAAGTCTTTCCAAGGTTAATCCATGTCGGACCATGTATAAGTACTTCGTTTTATTGCAAAATGATATGACATTGTATGGATATGACATACATTTTGTTTACCTATTCTTCAGGTGATAGACATTTGGGTTTTCTACTTTTGGCTATTGTAAATAATGCTGCTATAAACATTTTTGTGAAAGTTTTTGTGTAAACATATGTTTGCATTTTTGAGGGGTGTATTCCTAAAAGTAGAATTGAATGGCTGGGTCATATGATAACTCTGTCTCTAACGTAAGGGCTGCAAGACTGTTTTCCAAAGCAACTGCATCAAGTTATGCAAGCAATCCATGAAGATTCCAATTTCTCCACATTCCTAGTTGTTCTACCCATTATTGAAAAGGAGGTATTGAAGTCTTTAATTATTTTTAATTAGTTTTTCATTCTGCCTTTAAATTCTGTCAGTTTTTGCTTCATGTATTCTGGGGCTTTGTTAGGTGCATATATGTTTATAATGGCTATATTTTTGAGAATTAATTTTTTATCATTATGAAATGTCTCTGTTTATTGATTTTTTTGTTTTAAAGTCTATTTTGTCTAATACTGCACAGTCACCCCAGCTTTCTATGTTTTTTATTTTCAAGATGTATATTTTCCATCCTTTTATTTTCAACCTATTGAAATCTATTTGTATCTTTGAATACAAAAGATACAACCTATTTGTATCTTTGAATCTAAAGTACGTCTTCTATAGACGGGATATAGTTTGATCTTGTTATTTAACCTGTCTTAACATTTCTGCTTTTTAGTTGGTTCATGCAGTATATTCACATATATTATTATATAATTAGATTTATATATGCCATATTAGTTTTTGTTTTCTACAGGTCTCCTGTCCCACTTTTGTTCCTTTATTGCTCCTTTACTGATCTTTTTTGGAATTAGTACTTTTTAGGGTAACATTTATACTACTTTCATGATATTTTAACTATATATTTTGGAGTTATTTTCTTAGAGGGTGCTCTAGAGTTTATCTTATGCGTAACTTAATAGGGTCTACTGTAGATTTATAAAAACTTACTTCCAGTTAGACATAGAAACATACTCCTTCTTAGCTCTATGACTTCTTCCCCCTTTTTCATGCTATTGCTATGCATATTACATGCGTGTTTGTTAACACCAACCATACATGGTTGTAATGTATTATTATACATAGCTTGCCATCCCTCTGCCTTCTAGCCTCAACCATTTCTGATGACTCAGTTGTTAATCTTATTGGAGTTTCCTTGTAAATGATGAGTCATTTGTTTCTCTTGCTACTTTCAATTTTTTTTTTGGTTTTTGGAATTTTTACTATGATGTTTGTAAGTGTAGCTCTTTGTGTTTATCTTAATTGGGGTTCACTGAGCATCTTGAATATGTAGACTACTGCTTTTCATAAAATCTGAGATGCCTTCCGCCATTATTTGTTTGAATACTTTTCTGCTCCTTTCTCTCCTCTTCTACTTTAATTCCCAGTAGGTGCAGATTTGTGCACTTTATGAACGCCTACATTTCTCCAATACTCTGTCCATTTTTCTTCATTATTTTTTCTCTCCGTTCTTCAGATTACATCATCTCTACTGATCTATCTTTAAGAATTCTGATCTTTCTTTTGAGCCTCTCTAGTTTTTTAATTTCATTTATTATAATTTTAAACTCCAGAACTTACATTTAGTTCTTTATAATTTCTAACTTGTTATTGATATTCTGTATTTGATGAAATATTGTCATTATGCCTTCTTTTGCTTACATCAGAATAATTTCCTTTAGTTCTTTGATCATAATTATAATGATTGCTTGGAAGGCTTTGTCTGTTAAATCCAATATTTGTGTCCTCTCTCAGGCAGTTTCTGTTGTCTGCTGCCTTTTTGGGTGTATGTGTCACATTTTTCTGTTTCTTAGCATGTCTCATAATTTTTGTTGAAAATTGGACATTTTAGAAAATATAGCAGTCCTGGATACAGACACTTCCCCTACAAAAATTGTTTTTGTTGTTTTCTTGTTTATTTGCTCACTGACTTGGCTCGATTATTTTAATTAAGTCTCTTCCCTTTCCCCAGTGTTACAACTCTGAGGCCAATTTTCAGAGGACATGGCCTTGGACCTGTACACAGTCACCTCAGGATGACAATGGTTTTAACAAGGCTCATTTTGAACGTTTCTTTTCTTGATTTCTCTGTCAAACTGTCTGCCTCTGCTGACATTCAATCTAGCTCTTAGGTTCCATTACTTTCCAACTGATTCCTTTACTATTTTCTACAATGCTATATAGACTTTCATTGCTCCATAGTCTGATCAAACTGAATCAGGTCCCCTTTGCATGGGTAGCTGTTGTGGGCAGTCATTGAGGTTTTTTGCTCATGCCAGGAGCAGTCTTCTTTGTGGTGTTTTCTCCCTGATTCTTTCTGATAAGCTAGCTATGGTGAAGTTATGGTTTACTATAGAGTACCACGCTCCTCTTAATTTCTTATCACCAACATCTCCTTTGTTTCTAGAGAACCCTTACACTTATACTTCTCCACATTCTGCTTCAAAGTCCATGCCTTTGGGGAGAGCTTCAGAGTTCTTTGTTCTTAAGGATTGTATCCTGGGCTAAATATCTGCATCCCTGCTCCAGAACTGGGAGCTGGGAGCTGGGACCATGGCCCTCTTCTCTTGGAATGGTGCCCTGGCTGGGAAGGTGCAGTAGTGTCTGCTTTTTTCAACTTGCATCCTTCACTGGGGAGCCTCCACCTTATGACTGAGCTTGGAAAGGGCTGATCAGAATCCCAGCATTCTTGGCTTGTCATGCCTGAGGTTGCACCTCCACCCTGTGAATGGGGGTTGGGTAGAGGAAGCGAGCCCTATCCCTTGGCTGCATCCGCCAAGAATTTAGACTCTGGAACTCCAGATGCAGAAGGTGAAAAGTGTTGGAATTTCACCAGGTATTATCTTTTTGGAGGGAGTAGATTCACAGAGTTCCTCTTGTTGCCATTTCAGAAGCAGAACCCCTACAGATATTATTTTTATATATGTTTCACAAATGTGAAAAGTGAAGCTCAGAAAGTTCTAGCAAATTCTTCAGTTCTTGAAGCTAGTAGGTTGTGGAACCAAAATTTGAATGTAGGCTGCTGATGCTGGTGCTGCTTCCTCAATCACAGGCTATTTGGCCTCAATAGAGCTGCTGATGACATCAGGCAGGCAATCATGATCATAATTATGCCATGGAACACTGCCCGGAGTTCAGGGCTCCAGAGTACATCCATGTTTGTTCTCTGGCTGATTCTGGTGGTTTCTCTGAATTCAGAATGTCCTCCCAATCTCCCTTCCTTTGAACCCAGCTACAAGTGACAGCACATGTGCTAGAGTGGGTCTTGTCCCAGACATGGAGGAGAGAGGAATGGGCCGGGCATTTCCTACATCTACTGCCTGACAAGTGAGTTCCTAAAAAACCACATGTGTATGAGTTACCACCCTTCTCTGAGCTTGTTTGCTCATCTGTGAGGTAGGCATTTCACCAGGCCTCACCTCACTAAGCTGATGTGAGAGTTAGGTGAGCCTCAAGCCTGTGAAGCATGTAAGGCAGAGCCAGCAGTGCAGTAAGGGCTGGTAAATGTGACCAGCTCTCCTTATTTACATGTCTTTTTGCACACAACAGGTGCTTCCTACCTACACAAAGGAGGTAGATATGCATGTGTAAGTGAAGGTGAAGCACAGCCAAGTGAGCACAAGACCTAGATTAAAGCAGATGCAGGTGCAAATTCTGTCTCTGCTACATCCAGCCTCTGTGACTGAGGGCAAGTCATCCAAGCCTGAGAAACCAGTGTCATCCCCATTAGAGACGTCATGAGACTATGTCAAAAGCTGTTGCATGGAGCAAATGTTAGACTCCACATGATACACATGCCAAGAAGGGTAGATGGCATCACTACAGCATGAGAGGGCGACAGTGTGGGGTGCTGAGGGAATTGCATTTGCCAGGCTAATTCTTCTAGGGAAGAGGCTTGTCTTGTTTCCTGGGTTTCCTCCTGAGCTCTGAGAACATAGAAGGAACTAATTATAATCACATACACCAAAAAAGACAACGGTCATTCACTGATCACCCACTATGGGCCAGGCATTTTGTAAACCAAGTAGTTATACTCCTCATTTTGCTAATGTGTAAATGAGGCTTTACCCCAGCACTTTGAGAGGCCGAGGCAGGGGGATTACCTGAGGTCAGGAGTTCGAGACCAGCCTGGCCAACATGGTGAAACCTCGTCTCTACTAAAAATATAAAAATTAGCTGGCGTGGTAGCACACACCTGTAATCCCAGCTACTTGGGAGACTGAGGCAGGAGAATCGCTTGAACCTGGGAGGCGGAGGTTGCAGTGAGCAAAGATCATGCCACTGTACTCTAGCCTGGGCAACAAGAGCAAGACTTCGTCTCCAAAAAAAAAAAAGAAAGAAAGAAACCTGCCCAAGGTCACACAGCTAAAAAAGGCTGCAGCGAAGGACAATGACCAAGGCTCATTTGACACCAAACTTGTGCTATCGATGCTACATGATTCCATGCAGGAGGGCAGGGGTTAGTGCTTCCACCAGGACAGCGACTGACTGCACTCACTACTGTTCTAAACAATTTACATGCATTAATTTATTTAATCTTCATAATGCTACTGAATAGGTTGTTTTATTATCCCCATTGTACAGACGAGAAAACTAAGGATAGAAAGGTTAAGTATCTCGGTGAAGCCAGAATCCACTTCTCAGCCATTCAGCTCCTGAGGGCCACCCTGAACTGTGACTTCTTCGTCTCTGCAATTCTTTCCTGGCCATCATTAATTGTGTTCCCTCATCAGCTGAAAGATTCATGAATATAATTCATGCTAGGCCAGGTGTTGGAAATGCTGTGACTATAAATTACAGTCAGGACACCTGGGAGTCCTCTAACGCTGGGATGGAGGAGGTGCTGTGGGAACACAGAGCTGGGGTTTGGAGCAATGTCCTGGAGAATTAGACATAGTTGAGTAGGAATGATAAGAACTCATGAGCCAAGCAGGAAGGTGTGGTGAAGGGAAAACAGGGGTGGGGAGAAGGAAGCATTATTCTTGGCACAGGAAAGAGCCTGTGTAATGGCCAGAGTCAGGAAGGGTACAATAAAATGACAAATTAGAGGGTTAGTAACTGTGATGATTCAAAGCAGAGAATTCTGGTTATGGGGTGGCAAGAGACAAGGCTAGAGAGTCCGCCAAGGCCATATCCAGCAGGCCTCCATGCCCATGGAGAGAAGCTAGGGCTTCATCCCGAGGGTGGTGTGGGGGTAGTGCCTGGCCCCTGCCAGGTATTCAGCCCACACTTGCTGATTTGCATGATCGGAGGGCCCTGGGTCCCCCACACCAGCCCTGAGGTTCAGCCATGCAGAAGGGCAGCCATCTACTCACCACATCACCTTTCTCTCCCTTAGGTCCAGGAGCGCCAACCGGCCCAGTGGCTCCTGTGTCTCCCTGAGGGGTTGAGACCAGAGACAAGCATCAGATTAGGTTCACTGACAGGGCTCTTGCACAGACAGGACCCTCATGGCCAACCTTGCTCCAGTTCCCTAGAAGCAGCTGATTTCATCTTTGCCATTTCTGCAATGAGGCCATGTGTCCCACCCCTGGAGAGGAGGAAGCATCTAAGTCATCCCCCAACATCACAATTGCAGGAACCAGGGACTTCTTGAGGAAAGCAACTGCATCAAAGCATTGCACATTCATCCTTGGGAATGGCCTACCACTGATCCCACCACCAGGGCCTCAGAAGGCAAAGTGGAAGCTCCAGGTGTGAACAGCAGCTCTGCCACTTCACATGAGCACATCTTTACGGTCTTTGAGCCTCAGGCTTCTCTTCTATAAACAGGCACATCCTCACGCAGGCACACAAGATTAAGAGCATAAAGGTGCTTTGAAAACTTTCAAGTGTCAACCAGAGTGCCCTGGGCATTCGGTTTGTATAACAAGTCCATCCCTGTGCACCTGGGGCCCTCATACCTGTCCAGGAGGAGAAAGAGAGCAGGTAGAGGAAAAAATTGTGTCTGCAAAGGAGGAAAAACTCATCACAAGCCAAGTGTTGAACCGGAGCCCAAATCTCCTGCCATCTCATGAGCCAATCCAAGATAGGTGTAGGCACAGGAAACAGAGCCTTCAGTTCTACTCTTTTGTCTTTTTTATTGGTCTGGAACTTTCTCTCTCTTGTTCCCATCTCATCTTTTATATTCTAAGTACACATGGCTACTTTGCTTATGCTGTTCCCTTTGGCTATGATGCCCTTCCCTGCCTCCTTGGTCCTGGGCAGTTCTTGTCTATTCTACTGGACCCAGCTGGTCAGGGCCATCAGCGGAAAGGTGTCCTGAAGTCCTACCAGGTAGCAATGGGGACTCTTCTCTCAGCGCCTCAGCTCCTGGGCCCCTCTATCCTGACTCTCTTCATACTATCCCACTCCTCTCTTTCCTGCCTCCCTTCCCCCTGGCCTGTGAGTCCTGGGGACCAGGCTCTCAGTCAGTCACTTTTATATTCCCACATCACGACTGGGCCTTGCACCCAGCATACTCAGCTTATGCATGTGGACAGAGCCCGAGCTTTCTGTAGGGACACGGAACCACCAGGAACCCCAGCCTTTGACTTAGGGTCCTAACCATGGTTTGGGACAATGTGATGGATGACGCTATAGGACCACAATTGCAAGTGAGCTCTGCGGGAGCTGGGCACATCTCCAGGTGGCTGTATCAGTTTCCCTTTTCAGTGCTCCTCTGCTCCCATCATTTCTGCTCTCTTTGTGGGGCCTGGGGCCTGCTCTGCTCAAGCACAGCAGAGGCAGCCATTACCAAACAGCCCTTGTTTCATACAAATGTCTTCTACTGAGAGGCCTATGAAACCCCAGGTAGCTTTGGTCTTCCCTCCTGTCACAGCCGAGAATCTGAGGTCACTTCTCAGAGGAGCTCAATGATGCAGAAACCCCTGCCATCCTCCTAACAGTGACCCGCTGGCACCTGGGCCGCTCTGAGCTGCTCTCCGTCAGCACAAAGAGAGGACTCACCAGGGGAGAGGAGCTCAGGGGGCAGCAGGGGTGTGTGTGATGGTGTGTGTGTGTGATGAGAGGTGTGTGTGTGATGGGTGTGTGTGGTAAGGTGCATGTGTGTGATGGTATGTGTGTGTGATGGGGTGTGTGTGATGTGGGGTGTGTGTGTGCATATGTCTGTGTGTGTATGTGATGGTGTGTGTGTATATGTGGTGTGTGTGGTGGGTGTGTGTGATGGTGTGTGTGTGTGCGTGTGTGTGATGGTATGTGTGTGATGGTATGTGATGGTGTCTGATGATGTGGGCATGCATGTGTATGTGTGATGGTGTGTGAAGGTGTGGATGTGTGATGGTGTTTGGTGTGTGTGTTAGTGTGGGTGTGTGATAGTATGTGTGATGGTGTGTGTGGGTGTGTGATGGTATGTGTGATGGTATGTGACAGTGTGTGTGGTGGTGTGAGATGGTGTGTGGTGTGTGTGTGTGATGGTGTGTGTAATGATGTGGGATGGCATGTGATGGTATGTGTGATGGTGTGTGATAGTGTGTGTGTGGTGGTGTGGGAAGGTATGTGGTGTGTGTGTGATGGTGTGTGTGTAATGATGTGGGATGGCATGTGATGGTGTGCGTGATGGTGTGTGACAGTGTGTGGGAAGGTGTGTGGTGTGTGTGATGGTGTGTGTGTAATGATGTGGGATGGCATGTGATGGTATGTGTGATGATGTGTGTGTATATGTATGATGGTGTGTGTGTGGTGGTATGTGTGATGGTGTGTTATGGTATGTGTGTCTATGTGTGATGGTGTATGTGTTTTTGTAATGGTGTGGGATGGTGTGTGATGGTGTGTGTGTGATGGTGTAGGTGATGATGTGTGTGTATATGTGATAGGGGGTGTGTGTGTGTGTGAGAGATGGTGTGTGTGTATATGTGTGATGGTGTGTGTGATGGTGTGTGTGTTTTTGATGGTGTGTGTGTATATGTGTGACAGTGTGTGTGTGAGATGGTGTGTTTGATGGTGTGTGTGTGATGGTGTGTTTGTGAGATGGTGTATTTGATGGTGTGCATGATAGTGTGTATGTGTGATGGTGTGTGTTTGTGAGATGGTGTGTTTGATGGTGTGTGTGATGGTGATTGTGTGTGATACTGTATTATGGTGTGTGTGATGGTGTGTGTGATGGTGTAGGTGACGGTGTGTGATGGTGTATGTGTGATGGTGTGTGTCTGTATGTGTGATAGTGTGTGTGTGAGATGGTGTGTTTGATGGGTGTGTGTGGTGTGTGATTGTGTGTGTGATGGTATATTATGCAGTGTATGTGTGATAGTGTGATTGTGTGTGATGGTGTGTGTGTGATGGTGTAGGTAATGGTGTATGATGGTGTGTGTGTGATGGTGTAGGTAATGGTGTGTGATGGTGTGTGTGTGATGGTGTAGGTAATGGTGTGTGATGGTGTGTATGTGATGGTGTAGGTAATGGTGTGTGATGGTGTGTGTGTGATGTGTGTGTGGTGTAGGTAATAGTGTGTGATGGTGTGTGTGATGGTGTAGGTAATGGTGTGTGGTGGTGGTGTGTGTGTGATAGTGTAGGTAATGGTGTGTGATGGTGTGTGTGATGGTGTGTGTGTGGTGTAGGTAATAGTGTGTGATGGTGTATGTGTGATGATATCTGCGTGATGGTGTGTGTGTGTGATGGTGTAGGTAATGGTGTGTGGTGGTGTGTAATTGTGTGTGATGGTGTAGGTAATGGTGTGTGATGGTAGAGGTAATGGTGTGTGGTGGTGTGTGTGTGATGGTGTAGGTAATGGTGTGTGGTGTGTCTGTGATAGTGTGTGTGTGTGATGGTGTGTGTGTGTGATGGTGTAAGTAACGGTGTGTGATGGTATGTCTGCACGTGTGGTGTGTGTGTGTGATGGTGTGTGTGTATATACATGTGGTGTGCTTGATGCGTGTGTGTGTGTGTGTGATGGTTTGTGTGTGTGTCCGTGGTGTCACATCCTAGCAGTGTGGGGGCATTGTGTGTGTGTCCGTGGTGTCACATCCTAGCAGTGTGGGGGCATAGCGGAGAAGGGTGTGAGATGAGGGAGGGAGGCCAAGGAAGTATTTACAGTCAGGAGGGAGAGAAAAGAGAAAGAGAAAAGGGAGAGGAGAGGAGAAACAGACAAGGCAAGAGAGGAAGTGAGGAGGGACACATAGGAAGGGAAGAGTGCCCAGCAAAGGTGGACAGGAAGAAAGCATTGCTCAGGCGAGTCATTTCACCATTCTGACTTTTGATTTCTCATCTGGAGAATGGGACTGATGCTGCCTCTCACGCAGGGTTGGGTTAGGGTTTGATATCACTCATTCAACAAGTAGGGACCACCTGCAATGTGCACAGCCCTGAGCTCACAACAGCGGGCACTGGAACGGCAATCCTTACCCCACAGCACCTGCTGTCTGAGGCATGGGTAGGCTCCCAGCTCAAGCCTGACACACAGCAGGTGCACAGTCATTGTCACTGCAATTCAGTAGAGGAGGATGGAAGATGGGAAAGAAGTGGGCAAAAAGAAAGAGATTCCATATACTCCCTGGTCTGTCTATACCATGAGACTCAGGCTTGTGAGGGTCAGGTCCTGCCTAAACCATCCTCTAACCCTATTATTGACCTCAGTGCCTGGCCCTTAGCAAGTTTCACTAATGATATGCTGAATGTATTAATTCAAACTAAGAAATGCAGGAGGAGAAATGGCGGGGAGAACAGAGTGGAAGGAAGAGCAAGATGAAAAGAGATACAGACAGTGAGAGATAGAGACAGAGAGATACAGTGACACATAAAGAAAGGCAGAGGCTGGGGAGAGAAGGGAAAGAAAGGGAGGGGAGGGGAGAGGCCCAGCAGTTTCCAGTGATTTTCATCAGCACACTCAGTTCCTCTTTCAAACACGGGATGATGGTGAACTCTCCACTCTGCCTTGATAAATAGTATAACCCTGGGAAGCGATAGAGAGGAAGGAGACCACTCCGTGACTGAGGGCAGAGAGGCCCTACCTGGCTTGGTGCAATTAGTGAATTTGGAAATCGTGTGTTTAAAGGGTCATGCAATTTAATAAATCTTAAAAGCCCAACCCCTAAAAGTTTCTGGAATACAGCAGCTTCAACCAATTGCTGCAAAGTGAATTGACCATGGAGAGAGTTGAGCCTATTGGAGCAAATGAGACCTGAGCCAGGGCTCTGGGAATCTCACCCTTTCTTGCTAATATTCGCAGACTGAGAACTGGAGGTCCTGGGCAGTTAAGAGGCTCCCAGGTTTCAGACTTAATGCCACTTGCTCTTATCCTTTTAATTTAACAAGCTCTGAGGAAAAATGTTGGCCAGACAGCAGCCCCACATACCATCTTTTGTCTTACACAGAGAGCAAAACAGAGGACTAGTGAGGTTCTAAACTACACCACTGCCACGCCTGTACTGACCTTTGGACCAGGGAGCCCTATGGGGCCAGCAAATCCCATTTCACCCTAAAAGAAGAAAGACAAAAAAAAGTAAGTTTCTATTTCAATTTTCCCCTTCTCTCATCACTGGATGCTTATCCACCTCACATGCTTAGAAGCCAATGGCTTAGTAAGCCCAGTGCCAACCAATGAGTTGGGCAAGGAAATTGGTTGACTGTGCTGAAAGTCCCTGCTCTCGAACTGCAAACCTATACGGGAAGCTTTGACACAGCCTCCAGATGCAGCTACCAGTGGACACAAGATAGAAACAAGCAAACTGAGCCACAGAAAGACAAATGCCACGTTTCGGCTTACTTGTATAAGTAAAAGCATGAAACACCGAGAAGCAGAAGGCAGAGTGGTGGCTACCAGGGGCTATGGAGTGGGAGGAATACACACATGTTGTCAAAGACTACATGTCTCAAACAGCAGGAATAATGAAGGGTAAGGATTTGAGGTGACGGATATGATAATTAGCTAATTTCAATCATTCCACATTGTATACATGTATTATGACATCACTTTGTACCCCATAAATATATGCAATTATATGGTTTGTCAATATCCAAACTAAATATGTAAATACATTAAAAAACCCAAAGTGGTATTCACTAGCTATTTTTACCTGAATATATCATCACTTCAATTAAAAAGAAAATTATGTTGACTGCTAGAGGTTCATATAGTTATTGTTCACTAAAATACAAAAGAAGACATATATGTAAGCTATTTCTAAATGTGAACTTTGTTTCAATTTAACAATGTGTAAAGATCACCTTACTGGATTTATAAATGTAATCTGTACGTGGTGGATACATGTAAATGTCGCCATGCTGAAAACAAATGCAACACGATTAATATAATTTTACAGATATAAATATCACCACATTAAATAAAAGGCAGCAGTACATCCATTTATGTGTGCACTTCGTGCTAAAGGCAATCTACACTCTGCCAAAAGTTGCACACTTGGCCAACTCAGGAACATACACTTTCAAATGCATTCACAGATGTTGTTTGCTCAGGCAAATGAAGATAAATAATTTTTTGTGTGTTTCTCCTCACCTAGCGCCCACAAGAGCTCCTGGTACACAGTTCACGCTCCCCATGATGTTTGCTTATAGAGATGCAACACCAGGCATCATGTTGACCTAGCTGAATAATGAAAATGTTTTTCCAACTCCAATAGAAGATTTAAACCACTGAAAACAATGTCCGTCTGTGGCCACAGCTCTGCCTCCTAGGAGAAAACATTCAGACTTCCTAGGCCCCCTGTGTTGTATTTTTTTTAATTGAAATGAAGATGGAAGAGACAGAAATGACACCTGCTTCATGAGGTCATTGTGAAGTTCTTCCACTCCACAGGGCTATTTTGTGGGGAGGGAAGCAGCAGGCTCCCTTCTCAGCCACCTGTGCTTGGGAGGTTCTCTAGTAGGCCTGCTATGAGCTCCTTGGGGCCCAGCCAGGCCTCGGAGCTCCTGGTTCCCTAACCAGAGTGTAGACTACAGAATTTTTGAGGACCAAATTCTATTTGTCTTAAAACCTCAGTGTAGAGCACAGTACACAGCACATAGCAGGTGCTTAATGTCTATGGTTAGACATTAGAAGAAGGAATGAAGGAGTGATTAAGTCATCATTGAGTCATGCCACCCTAGGCATGGGGCTGAAAATATGTAAGGGCAACAGCCAGACCTTGCCCCGCCTAAAGGAAGAGAGGGTGTATTTCTTTTTTTTTTTTTTTTTTTTTTTGAGATGGAGTCTCACTCTATTGCCATGGCTGGAGTGCAATGGTGTGATCTTGGCTCACTGCAACCTCCGCCTCCCGGGTTCAAGAGATTCTCCTGCCTCAGCCTCCTGAGTAGCTGGGATTACAGGCGCACACCACCACGCCTGGCTATTTTTTGTATTTTAGTAGAGATGGGGTTTCACCATGTTGGCCAGGCTGGTCTCAAACTCCTGACCTCATGATCTGCCCGTCTTGGCCTCCCAAAGTAAGAGGGTATATTTCTTTATCCCTCCCTCCCATTTATCCATCCACCTCTCTGTCCATCCATGTCTTCATACCCTGATTGACTTATATATCAACTCATCTCTTATTTATTGGCTTTCTCTGTGCCAGGCTATATATTAGTAGCTGAAAATACAGACATGGAAAGATCCAATCTCTCCTTTCCGGAACTTATGATTTTATGGAAGTAATGATAAGGAGACATTTTCAATCTAGTGTGATAATTGTTATAATAAATAGAAGTACAGGGAGGAAAAGGAAGATGCTGTCATGGAAATAGCAGGTGCTAAATGCATAACTATTGAATGGATGGATGGAGAATAAGGAAAGGAGGAGGAAAGAGAAGGAGGGAAGGAGGAAGGAAGGAGAGGACAGGAGGGAGGGAAGAGGGAAATGACACAGATTAAAAATGTGTGCAGAAAAGAATTCCTTAGGACTTCTTGAAAGAAGAGCAGGCATTGGGTCTGGCATCGCTCCTGGCGCAGTCCATCTGTGTGCACACTGGCTTGTGACCAAAACCTCACCATGCCATCACTCATCCTGCTCATTGCTTTAAACAGGATTCCAATGGATTTGGATTTCAACAGCTGCTTCTGTTATTTCATTGACATGTAAAAAACAGATCCACAGCCTGACTGTGGTGGACTTTAGCCTGCCAGGGGTGGGTGGAGGAGCTGCTGCCTGGCACGGTGTGCACCAGCCCTGGCTCCTGCCTCCACCCCCTCTCATCCCTTACACGGGTCCCAGGCTGAGGAGATCTTAAGGTCACCCTCTAACCAGAAAGAGCCTCAGCTCACAGCAGGCTTCCAGCTTGGGCCTCCAGCAAGGGAGGCCAGAGTTTGATGCCTGACTTAACTGAGAACTCCCTGAGGGCTCCCTGTACCCCAGGGTTTGGTTTTCTGGGTAGCACAAAAAGAAGGAAGGCAGAGTGTGAAGGAGAACGGAGACGAGGAGAGAGGGGAAGGAAGCGAGTCGGTCTACCGGGATAGGCTTCTGAAGAGAAGACTGCTGCTGCAATACCCAGAGCAGGCCCACTCCAGTTAACTCCCACCATCATCTCGTCTTTTTGTCTACGTGTCTGTCGTCCCCGGCAGAGTCACCAAGCACCTCCCACATGCAGGGACTGAGCTGAGAGGAACAGATAGAGGGGGACAGTACAGCCCAGTGTGGGAGATGAAGGACCCAGGGGCCACTGGCTCAGCAGAACTTCACGGACGCTTTCCCCAGCACAGTGCTACTTGGCGTCCGCCTTTTGTAAGTCTTTCTGTTCCTTCTCCTCAAATGCAGAAGAACTTTTTTCCCCTTATCAAGGGTGATCGTCTACAGAAAAACAAAACAAATCACAGCCCTGGGCATACCGTGAGATATTTATTCTAGTCTCAGTCCATTCGAGGACAGTCATGGTGGTGTTCACAGAAATGCACCACTTTTTAAAAATAGAAACACATAGATAAAACTAAAACTATATATGTGTGTATATATACACACACACACTTATATATACACATATACATACACACACATATATACACACACATACATACACACACATATACACACATATATATGTGTGTATATATACACACACACACTTATATATACACATATACATACACACACATATATACACACACATACATACACACACATATACACACATATATATGTGTGTATATATATGTATGAATGATAGTGAATGGCTAATCAAAGAAAACACTGAGAAGAGAGGAATGAGGGTGTGCTCTTGCAAAGCACACAGAAATTCTCACTCACTGTCTTCTTCTGAGGCTTATTCTCAAACAGCATCTCATTTGATTCAGTCACCCCAAGTGGAGATCATAAAGGAGTAACCTGGGAAGCCTGGGGAATGTACATTCTACTTCTAGAAAGCGTTCATCAGGGCCTGGTGTGCAGATCTCCCCTTCCAGTGTGCACAAAAATCAAGAAGCAAGAGCTCCAAGGCACAACACAGGGTGCTGAGAGCTGACAGCCATGGGCCTTCCAGTGCCCCCCTGCCCTGGCAGGTCACGTGCATGATGGGAAACTCCCACTGCACCACCCAGGGGTGGACTGGGGCTGAGGGTGGACTGCAGACAATACCTTCTCTCCAGCTGGGCAGGAGCAGTTGATGGTCTTCAAAAACCCAATCTGTTCACTGCCTGGGGTGGGAGGCCGCTGGGGTGGGGGTGGAGGTGGAGGCTCTGTCACCACAGTCACCTGGCACTGGAAGGAAAGCCCAGGAGGTCAGAACCTGGTTCTTCACTCAGCAGGCACTCCCTGGCAGAAGTACAGTGTCGGGTGCTTCCTCGGAACCAGGCAGGCAAAGGTTAAGAAAACGCTAAGGATGTCTCTCCCGAGACCTTGGGGCAGAAGGCCTGGCCAGCCCAGACTCAGCCATTTCACTGGCTGGCTCAGCAACCTGGGGGAACTGCCCACGGTCTCGCACCTCACAAGTGCTCAACATTTCTTGTTGTCCTTATTCTCACCTCCTCCTTTTCCTTCTTCATCCCATTCTCTTCTTCCCTCACCCTCTAACTCCACAACCAGGTCCATCTGGCTCCACATTCCCAGCACCTGCTGTCTACCTGCACACCACAGGAGCCCTGAGCCGGGTGCACTGGCTGAGTTGGAACTGGGTCTTGGGGATGAGGTTAACCAGGCATTGCATGGATCTCACCCTGCAGCCCGGAAAGTAGCCTCCATTATTATTCCCGTCTTTCAAGCAAGCCTTGTGACCAGGACTTGGCAAAGAGGGTTGGAAAGGGAGAGGCCTAAAACAGGGCAGGGACTGAGGTCTGAGAATAGAGCAGAGCCCGCACAGAGGGGTTGAAGGGGCAAACCCTGGTCTCTTGGGCCATCCATGTCCTGACCTCCCCATCTTGCGGACCAGCCCAGGGCACTGTGGCCTCTGGGCACTGGTGGCCCGGACTGTCATCCCCTCCCTAGAAACACCTCCCAGCCCCTGCCTCCCACATCCCCTAGAGCAAGGCTTCATGACTCAGCTAGAAGCACTGGGGTTACACTGACTAAGGCACAAATGACAATAGCCCCAGAGGAACCTGCATGGCTTGGCTCCCCCAACCCACACCATAAGCTCCCCCTCAGGCCATATTCTGATGGTGGATGTGTCCCTGACCCCCGACCACCCATCCCTAAGCTCTGGACTCCCCTTCCCTCTGGAGGCCACACTCCCATCTCCTCCCATCCTCTCTGTGTGAGAGTCTGCTCACCGGACCCGAGGGGATATCACAACAAGTCTCCAGTTCTGCATGTCTCGAGTCACAATAGATCACAATCCGCTGTAGGTCAAACTGGAAAGGAAAAAGGAGAGAGGGTAAGTTTTAGGGACTTTGGAACCCAGAAACCTCCATGGTTACAGACAGGCTCTGCCCTGGTATCTGGTTCCACTTCCTTTTCGTGGTCTTCCTGAACCCACCACTGGGCCACTCCTACCCTGGGCTCCACCCTGGATTTTCACAAGGAGCTAAGCATCATCTGCTCACACCCCTGATCTGGCTTGGCTGTGTCCCCACCCAAATCTCATCTTGAATTGTAGCTCCCATAATTCCCATGTGTTTCAGGAGGGACCCGGTGGGAGATAATTGAATCATGGAGAGGGTTTCCCCCATACTGTTCTCATGGTAGTGAATAAGTGTCATGAGAGCTGATGGTTTAATAAGGGGTTCCCCCTTTTGCTTGGCTCTCATTCTCTCTTGACTGCTACCAAGTAAGATGTCCCTTGCTCTTCTGCCATGATTGTGAGGCTTCCCCAGCCATATGGAACCATGAGTCAATTAAATCTCCTTCCTTTATAAATTACCCAGTCGTGGGTATGTCTTTATTAGCAGTGTGAGAACAAACTAATACAACCCCTTCCTTCTATAAGGGAGAGCCCCCGCCTTGCAAGGGGCTTCAGGACACATGTTAAAGTCCAGTGTTTCTTTCTACGCTGAAGGTGCTATGGCCTCTGCCCTCCGCTCTGCACACAGGGCACACCATCATCCTCGCTCCATGTCACCGCACTGCATTGAACAAGACCCTTAATGATGCCATTGCAAAGGCCTCCAGGTTCCACGTAGCCCTATTTTCAGCCTCTCCAGTCATTTCCACAGTTGTTTCAGTGAATTTTTAAAATAAAAACTTACTTCTATCACTACCTTTAATATGACAGCCCCTTAAACTTAAAGACATAACACATAAAAAAACTAAAATTTAAAGGGACTGTGGTGCTAAAACATCCACATGCTTGAACACATTCACACACACAGAGTCTACAGACAAAGCCCAGGTCCTTTCTAGGACACCCCACCTCCCAGGGCCTGACTCTGCCTGGTTCCCCAGGTGTCCCTCTCTTCACTCTGCACTTGAACTCTGCAGCATCTAACTGCACGACAAACCACACCTGCACATTCACACCTTGGCACGTGGTGCCCATTCTAGGAAAGCCCTTGAGCAATGAGAAATCTCCCAGTCACCACCCAGATCCATACCCAGGCATCCCCTTTTGCGGCTGTTTTTTCAAATACGTCCACAGATTGGGAACTTAATTCCCCTCCCCTGGTGTGAAGTGATGGCATGTCACTTCCGAGATCAGGTCATAAGAAGATTGGCTGATGTCTTGAGTGTGTTCTTCTCTTCCTGTTTGTCCCTCTCTCTCTCATCACTCACCATGGGGCACAGAAGCTAGCATGTTGTGAGCTACTCAGTGGACAGGCACAGGTGGAAAGGAATTAGGGTGGCTGCAAACATTAACTAGCAAGGAACTGAGGTCCTCCATTCAACAGCTCATAAGAAGCTTCCAACAGCCCCCTAGTGAGCTTGGAGGTGGCTTTTCAGCCTTATTTGAGCTTTGAGATGACAGCAGCTTGAGGGCAGCACAGTGAAAGACCCTGAGTGAACCACTCAGCTAAGCCACTCTCAGATTCCTGATCCACAGAATCTAAAAGACAGTACATGTGTGTTGTTTTAACCTGCTTTTGCTGGGGAAATGGGATAACTTGTTACACAGCCACAGGTGTAACTGATACACCTCCCTCTATAGCCAAGAATCCATCAGGCCCTCTTCTCTGCCATATGTGCACCTTGCATGATATGGTTTGGCTGTGTCCCCACCCAAATCTCACCTTGAATTGTAATAATCCCCATGTGTCAAGGGTGGGGCCAGGTGGAGATACTTGAATCTTGGGAGCAGTTTCCCCCATACTGTTCTCAACGGTAGTGAATAAGTGTCATGAGAGCTGATGGTTTTATAAATGGGAGCTCCCTTGCACATGCTCTCTTGCCTGCTGCCGTGTAAGACGTGACTTTGCTCCTCATTCACCTTCCACCATGATTGTGAAGCCTCCCCAGCCATGTGGAACTGAGTCAATTAAACCTCTTGCCTTTATAAATTACCCAGTCTTGGGTATGTCTTTATTAGCAGCATAAGAACAGACTAATACATTGCACAGACAGCTAACATCAGACACAGCAGACTGCAGGATAATTAGACATCTGTATATCCCTCTTCCTTCCAGGCTCCAGGACTTCTGAGAGCAAGGACAAAATCCCAGGCAGTGCTGCCTTCTCAAGCACGAAGCTGAACTCTTGCTAATGTATCAGAGCTGTGGACAATCTCTCACTCTCCCCAGGCCCTGCAGGACATGGTTCAAGCTCACCCCTAGTCTGCCATGCTCACTGCTCCCTTTCATTCAGCTATACTGGTTTCCTCCTGCCACCCCTCCTGCACTGGTTCCTCAGCCACCTGTCCACACCCAGGTCCTCCCTGTCACTCTAGCATATTCTGAACGTGGTCCTAACAGCACTTCCCACAATGCATGATGGTGTCTGTTTCTTAGCTCACTTTTTTAAACATCCCTAATAGAACACAGACCATGAGGGCAAGGCTCTCCTGTCTCCTGTCCTTCACTACAGCAGTCCCTGACTCATAAAAGTGCCATAGAATCGATGGCTGGGTGGACGAGTGGATGAATGAATGGGCGTTTATCAAATGGAGCTCGAGCTCAGTCAGTGGAGGGGGGAACACTTATTGCATTAAACACTGATGTGAAGTGCCCTGGACTTGCCCCCCCCCCGGTCCCTTCTCAGGCCCATGTTTGCCTCAGGAGTCCCCCTGCACACTGAAGTGCCCCTCGAAGTATAGCCACTCACCCCACTGACTTTGTTCAGCAGAAACAATAACAATACCATTCATCCGTCTGTTTTATTTCCTGTAGAGACACCAGCCCAGAAACAAGAGAAAATGACAGAATGAAAAACTGTGGTTTTGAACAAAGCCTACTTTCAAAGACAGCCCTGCTTTCTTCATTATCAAACATACTCGCAGCAGCTGGGCTTGCCTGGCAAGGCTGCAGGGACAGGGAAGGAGAAGGAGGAGGCAGGAGACAGGCCAGGGACAGAGCATGCTGGCTTGGGATCTGGGACAGAGGCGTTCTCAGGTGGGGTGAGAGGTCCTCTGAGCCAAGAGGGGCCCCTTTCCGATTGCCTAAAATCCCAGCATCGCCCCAGCCACTCTGTCCTTCTCTCCCTTTCCTCCCTGCTCCACACCCTGGGATTTTACCTCCTGACTCCACTGTGTCATCACTGTGCTCCCCCACTCCTGTCTGGAAGTCCTGCTCAGGTTTCTGCCCTCGGCAATTATGGGTTGAACTGCTGCATGGGTCTGCTTGGCTCCCTGGATCCCAGCTTCCTTCCATGTCCTACCCATCAGCAGCTTAGAGACCCTTTGCTGGCTGCAGTGTGGAAACCTATTAGGGAGCAGAGACAGCTGGAAGGCTGCATTCAGCACGACCCAGTCTGAGTCTCACTCTACTTTTCTCATATCAGCTGCTCAAGTCAGGAAAACTGAACCTCAGTTTTCCTTTCTGTGAGATGGACTCACAGAGCTGTGGTGGGGACCAAGGGAAACAGAGCCCATGACAGCACTGTGTCAGTCACAGATGAAGCTTCAGTGCAGGATGCGTAGGATGCCCCAAACCATGTGGCTACAAGTATCACAGATGATGATTCTGGAAGATTTACTAAGAGATAGAGATGTATTGATTCTCTTGTATATTTTCCTGATACTTGGTTTTAACATAAAAATGCAGCATGGAACAGTCAATGGGTGTAATACCCCCATGGACACTCTTCATTATTCTCTATTGCCTCTAACCCAGCAGAGAACTCCCCATGTGCCAAGCATTGTTACATGCTGTGTTTACATACTAGTGATCTCACTCAATTCTCACAGTAGCTCTGACAGATGTGAGTCCACTGTCTCCTGTCTATAGATGAAAAAGTGAAGGTGCAGAGAGCTGAGGCCACTGGCCTGAGTGTTTTAGTCTAGTTTAGTAGACCTAGAAACGTCTATTCAAGAAGTAGCATCTTTATTTAATTTGAGAGCACTGGTAGCAGAGCTGGAAAGTGAGTTAGGGAAAGGAAGTTAGCCAGTAAAGGGCTGTTATCAAGGGAGTTACCACTGTGAGCATCTGCAGTTTACATGTGTTGGGGAACTCTGGAGCCCATCAAGAATATGTGACTCAGAGTTAGGGTGCCAAGAGGTGAGGGAGCTGGGGTATTGATACTCCAACTGCCACCAGTCCTTGGCGGAGGGCTGCTCTCAGGGGTGTTGATGCCTGCTTGATAATGGATAGCACTGTCTCTGGCAGAGAAGGAAAGCCCTCAGGCAAGACAGGTGCAGGCAGTTGGCAGCACAGCTGTTATGCACTGAAATGATGAGGACTCAGGGGAATGTAGGTGGGGAACCAACCATTTCTGCTACACTAGGTTGTTGTATGTGATGGGGATGTGTCCAGAAGGAAACTCAGGTCTGATTTCCAATTCCCTGCTTGGGGTAGACCATATAATACAAATGGGTACCTTGGAGAGTACCAGGAAGCTAATCCTCTTCCTGTTTTCAAAACCTGACACCACCACCATGATAATGTGATGAAGATGGTGGTGATGATGTTCACGATGACTAGTATTTATTGAAAGCCGGCAGTACTCCAGGAAGTTTTATAAGCACTTCATATATGATACAGCATTTAATCACACAACAACCCTGTGGAGGGAGTGCTCATTTTTCTCATGTTACAGCTGAGGAAACAGCATCAGAGAGGCTATAGGGGAGCTTGGACTCCAAAACAATTTTGTTTAACTCAAACGCTAGGACAGGCAGTTTTAGGGAAGTGGGGCTATGTGCTAAAGTTGGCTCTTGTTTTTAGGAGACTTAACTCAAATATAGTCTCCCACTACCTCAAATAGAAATATAGTGGAAATCTCATTGTTGGATGTTTGGAACTGGAGTTAGAAGGATCTAATCTTGCTCTGTATCTTTGGACATGTTCGTTATTCCCTCTGAGCTTCCGTATCCTTGTCTGTTGAGTAAATGAGGGGCTGGATAAGATGCTCTCTGGGTTCCTTACAGCTCAGAGGGTATCTGTTTCAGGGACTGTTATTCAGGGCTGACAGCAGAACCATGGAGTTCACAGAGCCAGAGTCCTAGCCTGGCTGCCCAAGGCAGGGAACTTAAGCAAGTCACCTGATACTTTTGAGGTGGAATCTCCCCACCTATAAAATGTGAGGAGCATCCACTCCCCTGGCCTGAATTTAGGATTAAGAGGGGTTGTGTTTGTGACTGTGATGTACACTCTGAGGGAGATAATAGTGATCCTTATTGTGTTATGAATACCCCATAGCTCCATCTTGTCCAGCCCTTTGATGTCTGTTATCTTAGGCAGGGAGAGGTTTGCAAATGGACCTGGAAGACAGGCTGTGTGAGTGGAAACCCTAACTGCCATTTGTTGGCTCTGTGATCTCAGAAGAGTATTCAAAATCTCCAGGAGAGTCTCCATCTATGAAATGAGGGTGTCCACTCTATCTACTTTCTAAAGTTGTAAAGATTTTGGTCAGAAATGGGGTAAAGGGGCACTTGAGTGCAATGCCTGGCACAGAGTCTCTGCACAAGTAGCTAGAATTAGTAGCAGACTGAATAATGATTTTTATAGCTTTACTTTGATTTTACTATTTTTTGCTTAATTTGGTTCCACATCTATTATTTCATCCCTCAGCAACTGCACATAAAAACAAACAGGGTGTGATTCCCATTTCAGAGATTAAACAAACTAACAGATAAATAAAGCCTGGAAAACATGAACAGTGTGTGACATGGGCGATGGTGTTGCAGCTGGCTGGCAGGGCTGGCACGTGAGCTGCAGTTTGCGTGTGTCTGTCCTTCCCTCATCTGCAAGCCCCAATCTCTCCTCTCCCCACTACCTCTGACCGGCTCATTCTCAGCTTAAGTTTTAAAAATCGGTATGCACAGGGTTGTTCATGACTGATCGTTCTGTTAACAAAGCAAGTTATAACAAAGTCTATAAACTTGTTTACGATGCCTTTTGCTGGACTGCCACTTCCTAAAATTTTATGTATCCCAACTTACTCATTGTTTCTTATGGTTTATGTTTGACATACCAGGAAACAATTTTGCAACATGTATAACAAATAAGCAATGAGTATACAAAATATGAAAAGATTATCTAGAAATCATTCAGTAAAGAAAACTAGCATAGTAGTAAAACAGGCAAAGGAGATGGCCTAGCATCACCAAAGGGGGACGTGGGAACCATCAGAAAACATAGGGAAGGATTTCCAGTCTCAACGGTAATCAGGTAAATGCTGATGAAAACCACAACGCAAGACCGAGTGCGATGGGTCACGCCTGTAATCCCAGCACTTTGTGGGGCTGAGGCGGGCGGATCACAAGGTCCGGAGTTCGAGACCAGCCTGACCAACATGGCGAAACCCCGTCTCTACTAAAAATACAAAAATTAGCCGGGCATGGTGGCGTGCACCTTGTAATCCCAGCTACTCAGGGGGCTGAGGGAGGAGAATCGCTTGAACCTGGGAGGCAAAGGTTGCAGTGAGCCGAGATCGCGCCACTGCATTCCAGCCTGAGGGACAGAGTGAGACTCCGTCTCAAAAAAAAAAAAACAAAAAGAAAAAAGAAAACCATACTATGACCCTGTATGCCCAGCAGACTGACAAAACAACAACAAAATATTATACACATATCATTTATATATGATGTACCCTTATATAGATATATATAGCTCTCTATATAGATCTATATATAATGTTTATATATATTTATATATTACATATAGTTATATATAATGGTATATTATATATAATTATATAGATATAGATTAAATAAACATTATTTATATAATTTATATCTATAATGTATGTATATATTTATATAATGTTTAATGTTTATATGTTGTATACATACAACATACATACACACATATAAAAGTCACTTTCTAGAGCAATTTGAAATACGTGGGAAGGTTAAAAATTGTGTACCCCAGAGCCCAGTCATTAAACTTGAGGGTACATACCTCCAAGAAATGCTCTCAATTCATCTATATCTCAAGCTTAAAGGGCAGGTGTTGCTCACATTTTCCTCATAAGTAAAGTGCATGGAGATGTACCCCCCTTTTCAAAGTCCAAGGCTTGCTAATTACGATAGTGATACATTAGAAACTATCTAAATACCACTAACAGGATAATGAATGATTTATGAATGAATATATAACAAAGTATTATGCATTAGCTAAAAAAAAATAAAAGCTTAGACACATGATTCTGAGTAAAGAAAACAAAAAAAGCCAGATGTAGTCCATTATTTACATAAACTTCCAAGAATCTAACCTATGCCTAATGGTACTATATTTGCTTATGCTTATATATACGTGGACACATAAAATGGTTTTGGAAAGAGCTTTCCCCACATCATGTTTCCTGTTATTTCGCAGGCAGTGGGGGATGCTCTTGGGCATGGGAGCTAAGGTTGACTTCAGCTTGAAGACGGAACATGCGGATCACTGTGCAAGGTGTCTGTGTGTATTGTATTACGTACATACTTCTGGTGTATGCATCTCTGTGGCTACAGATGTGGGTATTTCTTGAGGGAAGAAAGAAAACTTAAAGGAATGAAAAAACAGAAAAGAAATGAAGTAAGGAGGGAAGAGAAAAAATAAAAGAAGGAAAGAACATTGATTCAGGATGGAAGGATAAATGTTCAGTTATTACCAGTTGTTATCTCTAGTTGGTGCAATGAGGATGATTGTTGTTTATTTTCCACATATTTTCCAATTCTTTTTTACAATCAAGGAAGAAAGAAAAAATCTGTATTTAAATTATCCAGAAACTATTATATATCTATCCACCTACCTGCATATATATATTCATATACATATGCACATATATGTGTGTGTGTGTGTGTGTGATCTTTGCAGACCTAGGAGCTACCTTTCTCTAAAATTATTTATGTAGCCAGAGCCATGTCAGTCTTGCTCTCTTTTGTGGATACTGGTGTCCCCAGTGCTGAGCACAGTGCCTGGCACATCGTAGGTGCTCAATGTATATGTGATGAATGATTGATGGAATGGCTGAATAACTGAATGAATTAATACATGGGTGTTGGTGAATTGGGGTTCCAATATGGCAGCTTTCTGAGTCAGAGTCTTTCCTTCTAAGACGGTCCAAGGTGATGATTTGTTACACAGTTCATGTAGGTGTAGAGAACACTGAGGGCAGTTAGCTCCCAAGGCTTCTCCCCAGTGGCCTGGAACCTGAGCTGCGGAATGCCCCCTGGTACTCACGTCGATGGGCACACTGTCGTAGAGGCGCTTGCCAATCACAGTCTTGCCCTGGATGTCAATGTTCTCCCGCTCCTCGATGGGTAGTGTCTGCACCAGTGCACAGTCGATGTACAGGGAGACGTTCTGGGCCTGGATGCTCAGGGCGATCTTGTGCCAGTCCCGGTCAAAGAGGTCATTGACCCGGGAACCTCGGAAGACCACCCTGACAGCATCTTTCATGGCACCCACAGCGTTGTACTCGACTGCTTTGTTTTCACCATCCAGCCGGATGGAGACCTGGGGAGGAAAGGACCAGAGACTCCTTGAGTTTCTTGGGGCCAAAGGAAAAGAAGAGAATGGGAAAAGGGAGTTTAGAGTCAGACCTGGCAATCCTGCATCAGATCCTGGCTGTGACTTACCAGCTGGTCACCTGCCATCTGACTTTGGACTAATTCCTTCACACCTCTGAGCCTCGGGTTCCTCCTTACACAATGGTGTTAATGATGTCTACCTTGCAGGCTATTCTAAACCTGGTATTAAATGGAATGATTGCACTCATACTTTAATGCAGGGGTCACAGCCTCAACTGTCTGGAAGAGCTATGTGGGTAAGAGAGCTTTGGTGAGACTCCAAGACAATTGGTGCACAGAGGGGCTTGAGTTGTAAGACCAGCCAGAAATCCTAACTAGTTTCAGTGTCTTAAAACCCTGGGCTGGTTAAACCAAACACATCATCTGGCCTGATCTGTTAAACTACACTGTCTCTCATTTGAAGATAAAGCTGGAGCGCCTGTAAAATAATGTTTCTTGATGGTAGGAGTCTGATCTCTCTGGGTCATTGGGGTAGCCTTTGCAAAATGCACAGGTATTTTGCAAAGGGCAAATTCTGGAGAAGGTTTTACTGTTTTACTTCTGATTGGGTTTTTTTTTTTTTGATGTTGGTTTTTGTTTTGTTTTGTTTTTTTGAGATGGAGTCTTACTCTGTTGCCCAGGCTGCAGTGCAGTGGTATGATCTCAGCTCACTGCAACCTCTGCCTCCCAGATTCAAGCAATTCTCCTGCTTCAGCCTCCCGAGTAGCTGAGATTACAGGTGTGCACCACCACGCTCAGCTAATTTTTGTGATTTTACTAGAGACAGGGTTTCACCATTTTGGCCAGGCTGGTCTCAAACTCCTGACCTCAAATGATTTGCCCGCCTTGGCCTCCTAAAGTGCTGGGATTACTGGCATGAGCCACCGCACCTGATTGTGTCTGATTGCTTTTTAATAATGAATAAGTGAGTATGTTCTCATCCATGTACTCATTTTGTCATCCCTCCAGAATATTCATCAAACATCCTGGGCGCCCAGCAGGCAACACGCCGGGTGTCAGGAACACAATAGTGGGCAAGAGATACACAATCAGTGCACAAAAGTATGAACAGAATAGAAGGCACAGAACATGAGTATCCACTGAGTGAATGAAAGAATGAGTATTTCCTTGTTCCGTCTCTGCAAGGTTAGTCTTCATCTGCTCTAATATTCATGTTTTGCCCCTTCCCTGTGGCTCCCTGCTCCCAGGATCTGACCTTTTAGGACTTCTGCATCTTGGCTCCTGGGCCCTTTGGCTTCTACTTGAGCTTGGCCCATGGGAAGTCCATTGGAATGGAGACCGAAGAGCGGGAAGAGAGAGAGGTGGGGCATGTATTCCTCCCACCCCTCCTGGCTTCCCTGTGGCTCCTGAGTGGCTTTGTTTCTCCACGTGCCCCAGTTCTTCGGAAGTATATCCTCCTCTGTGACTCTAGAACTCACCATCTCCTCCCTGTTCCCCTGCCCATCCAGGCCCGGGTGGTAGCTTCCTCCTGTGGCTGATCCTGGAATGCCTTGGCATTTCTTGTTGGTTTCCTTAACCCTTATCCCTTAACTGCATCAGCTCCCTTAACCCCAGTCATTTTGCTACTCAAAAAAAATGAGCACTCGTCAAAAATGTGGGCCCAGTGGGGGCTGTCTCTTGCCAGCCTACCTCTAAACCAATTAATCACTTTTTAGCTGTGTGACTTTAGGTAAGTTATTTAACCTCTCTACAGCTTCCTCATTTGTAAAATGTGACCAATAGTAGGTTCTATTTTCAAAATTAATCTATAACCTGATGGTTTCTCCTAATCTCACTATTACTGCTGGCATTCACATTTGCCTGGATCACTACCATGTTCTCCTAAGTTGTCCTCCTATTTCTGGGCCTGTGCAACTCCACAGAGTCTCTTCTCAAACAAAAAGTCCCTATACTGGCCTATAAGACTTGTTGAAATCCAGTCTCCTTTCACCTCTAGAACCTCATATCTAACTAACCCCAACACACACACACACACACACACACACACACACACACACTACTCTGCTCCAACTGTACCCGCCTCCTTGCTGTCCCTTTATCATATCTGGAATGAGTGAATGTCCCTCAGTTTACCCAAATGACAAATGGGGAACATGTCAGCTTTTAAGGGTGGTTGTAAATGGCAAATGAAAGCATGAGCATCTGTATCTATAGATGAACTTCTCTATCTGTAGATCTACAATGACTGACAGAGTGTATGGGCATGCACCGAACACCACTCTGCTCACAGATCATCTACTTTACAGGTCTTTATCCAGTTTTCCTGTGTCTAGCCAGTATTTCCCCAGGGCATGGAAGTGCGCATCATTGGCACTTCTGGTGATGGGCACCCAACCAAGCCTGGCTTAACAAGGTAAATTTCCGGGTGCCTCTTCACACAGGAATCTCAGATCTCAAGACAGACTTCATCTCTGCATGGCTCTGCGGTATTTCACCCCATTACTCATTTTGACAGGAGGAGGAGAGGACGCACACATGGCAGACAGGGCACAGACAGCTCTGCAAATGCCATGAAGGAAGAGATCCCAGACTGAGGGGGCGGTGCAGGCTCACCCACAAGAATGTCATGGCAGGGGCCCAGTACCACTGCACCAGACCCTGAGAAAATGGAGAAGCAAGACCTGTGCAATTGGAGATGACGTTGGATGGGAATGCAATGGACTTCTCCAGAAAAGTGGCCTCTGGAGAAGAATCTCGACTCCTCCATTCAGCCTCCCACACTTACAAAATCAAGCCTCTCAGCAGTTAAGTTTGAAAATGTTTCTGCATCTCAGTATGACCAGGGATGTTATGGAAAAATCATTCAACAGGACTAATTGATCAGGACAGGCTTGGAAGAGAAGCCAGCTAAGCATGTGCTTAAAAGCACAGATGTGCGAACCTGAATGACTAGGTTCAAATCTCAACTTCTGCTTTTATTACCTGTCAAAAGGTAAGCAAATTTCTTAGCCTCTCTGTTTCCTCATATTTGGCTCAGTTTCCTCATATCTGTGATGCAAACAGTAGAACATATTCATAGAATTATTATGAAGACTAAATGAATTAGTATTTGTAAAGTCCTCCGAACAATCCCCAGCTCCTACTAAGAGCATGTACACATTGATAAGCAAATGCATCTGAAGTCAGGGCCCAGCCTCAACCTGGGAAGGTGAGCTCACTGTTTAAGAGTATCTTGCCCTCTCTGATGGCAGGCCATGAGTGTGATTGCTGGAGTCCAATTGCTTGAGGATGCTTTTATTTTATTTTAGCCCCTAGCGAAAGTTTAGTCAGTATCTCCCAGCTGAAAGTGAGTAATATCTTCACCCAGTTCATTTTTCTAGGAGAGGAGAAAGAAACGGTTCGTCTACGAACTTGAGAACAAGGGGATTTGGATTTGGCGGAGAACAAATAGTAGTGTTGCTTTTATCTCAGACCAACAGATGGTGTTGAAGGCTTTGAATTTCAGATTTGTCTTTCCTCACCAGACCGTGTGCTGATGGAGAGCTGTCCTACCTTTGTGGGAATTGAAAGTTGAAACACACCAGAGGTGAGTAAAGACAGGACCCAGAGCTTCACTCAGAAGAACACTGAAGGGAACTTCTCATGATGAGATTGTATTATGTCTCAGGCACTGTTCTAGATGCTTTATAGACCATTATTCCATCTGATTCTCCCACCAACTGTTCATGCTAGGTACTCTGTTTTCCATTTTACAGCTAAGAAAACCAAGACTCAGAAAGATAAAGTAACCCATCCCAGGACCCACACCAATAAAGGAGTAGACACGAGACCTGAACCCAGGTCTATGTGACCCTGGGCCAGTGCCCTCCACTGCATCACAAAGCTGGGTCACTCATGCTGCCAATACAGCAGGTGTCACAGGACAGCAGGGCTGGCACCCATCTCCTTGGCTAGGTCAAGAGTCTCGGAGGACAGGAACTCAGTCTCCTTTACCCCCATTGGAAGGCCTGGTACTATATCATTAGGACAAGAAGCTGGACCTCTTGGGTCTCGTGACAGCCCCCTTGCAGGTCCTCTGAGCCTCCATATACCAGGTTCTCGATCTCCCTAGGCCCAGGGATAAGATCCCTGGAGAAAACACGGTGGGTGATGCCAATCCCTGTGAGAGGGAAACAGAAAGCTCAGGACCACTGAGATAAGGTGGTGTTGTCCTTACCTGTGGGATGCCGTACTGGTCGATGACCTGCCAGATATACCAATCTTCCTTCCGAGAGGTTCTCCTGAACCGGAAGGTTGTGACAAAGGCGTATTCATCAGGTAAACCTTGGGGGAACACCTCCCTGGAGAAAAATGGAGACAAACACACCAGGCTTGGCAATGAGAGCAGGGAGCCAGCAAAGTGAGCCCACACAACCCACCAGTGATCAAGCCCTGCCAAGTTGACTTCCTAAATATTTCCACCATCCACCTTCTTGGCCTGCCTTAACTGCTTTCTCCTTAGGTCAGGGCCTCAGTATGACCTAGACCATCGTCATGGCCCCTGAGGCTCCAGCCTCAGCATCTTCAAATCCATCTCTATGGTACGTCTGCCTTCATCTCTCCACTACCACCATGACTGATAACATGCACAGTAAACGTTAAATGGTCACGGTCCCGGGATCAAATATGGAGAAACTCCCAGCTTCGCTGCTCCCTGCTGCATCCCTCCTCTGCCAGGACAAATGGATATACCTTATCCTGCTGGGTGCCCTGTCCCAGATGCCAAGATGCCATGGTCTGAATGTTTCTGTCTTCCTAAATTCATTATGTTGAAATCTTCACACCAAGGTGATGGTAACAGAAGACGGGGCTTTGGTGGGGGGTGATTAGGTCATGAGGGCAGAAGGCTCATGAATGGGATTTGTGCCCTTATAAGAGAGACCCCAGAGAGCTTGTTTACCCCTCCCACCATGTGAGAGTGCAGGGAAGGATGGTGTCTATGAGGACCCTGATATTAGACTTCCCAGCCTGCAGAACTGTGAGGAGTAAATGCTGTGTATAAGCCACCCAGCTTAATTTATGGTGCTTTGTCATAGCAGCCAGAATAGACTGGGATGTAGCACATCCTCTTCTCTCCCACAAGGCCCAGGTTCCTGCCTGGCCTGTGGAGCCAGCCCCTCACTTTGGGGAGGCCTCAGCTCCCTGTTGCTCCACCCCTGCCAAGTTCTGGGGCTGCTTTTCCTCTTCCAAACTCAGAAATGAAAATTGTTCATTCCCTTCTGTGGAGGATCAATCCCCCAACCAAGAACCAAGATGCCATCCCTCAGTCCCTCTGTCCTCGGAGCACTGCTCTTCCATCTTCCTCTGTATCATGAACGGGGCACCTGAGCTCCCTTCTGCCTCTTGCATATCAGTACAAAACCCCCCCACCCCCACCAACACAGAGCCTCCCCTGACTGCACATCCCCAGTCGGGACCTGAGGAATCTCCCATTTCCTCTCTTTCTTCTTCTCCTTCCCTTCACAACAGAGTTCTGGAAAACGTCGTTGACATCACCCCCTCCTTCTTCATCTCTCCCATCTGCTCGACTCACGGCCACCTGTCTTCTAGCTCTCCAGGCTCCCCACATTTTCCTTGAGGTCCCTGGAGAGGAAACACTGACAAATCCCTGTCCCTCAGCACCCACTCGGGTCCCTGCAGCATGGCAGGCACTTCATAAAAGTTGAAGGAATGCAGAACTTTGAAAACTGTCAACAGCCATTTCCATGGAGAAACCTCTCTTTCACCAGAGCTAGTATAGGGCCTGCTTGATCTTCCTGGAGAACACATCCTAGACAACACAGACGTAGAAGCTGCCCCATGCCTTGTAGGAGTCTGAGCAGCCTCCCTGGCCCCCACCTACTCGATGGCAGTAGCAACCCCTCACCCAGTTGTGACAACAAAATTGCCTCCAGATACTGCCCAAGGCCCCCTGGGGGGTGGGGGTGAAATTTCTCTTAGTTGAGAACCACTGATCTATCCTAGACTTACATCCTATCGAAATAAAGTTTAGCTTACTTTTTGTAGTGTTTCTCAGATTCAATAAAGCACTTACACATAGGATCGCATTTGACATAAGATTCTAGGATTTAATAAAAATACACATCTTTTGAGAGCTTAACACAAGCTCACCACTACTCTTTTCACATATTGCCTAATTTCTTCCTCACAAGAATGTATAAAGAAGGTATTGCAGGTGTGAACCCGGGAGGCAGAGCTTGTAGTGAGCCAAGATCACGCCACTGCACTCCAGCCTGGGCGACAGAGCGAGACTCCGTCTGAAAAAAAAAAAAAAAATCGGTATTTTGATCCTCGTGCTATAGCTGAGGGCACCCAGGCTCTGAGGGGTTAACTCCATGCCATTTGGCTACCAAGTGGCAGAGGAAAACACAACTGGGATCTGTTCTCCTGCACTCTTCTCTTAATCATCAGCTGACTGCACTCTTAACTGCAGAGCCTGCTGTGGGGGAGCCCAATCCTGCCCTGGGGGCTGGGGGCTGCCTCAGGAATGTACATGACATTGACTTCCCTGCTGGAGGAGGTGGACCCTGCCTGGCCAGACAGACAGGAAGGGAAGTGGGGAGGCGTCTGAGTTCCTGGTTCTCAGACTTGCAGATCCGCAGGGACTTTGTTTGGCTGTAGGACCTGCAAGCAAGATTCTGATTCTGTTCACAGCTCCAGGCTGGGAGATGATGGCCCAGTTGTTCAAAGTCATTCTCTGAGTTGGGATGTCACCCAGGATCACATCCAGGTAGTAGCAACAGGGCCCATCACTCATAGCACCTTGGCCTCCCTCAGTACTCAGAGACGCCCTTAGTCGCTGCCCATGCAGGAGGAAGATGGGACCTCCCCACCTGCGTCCACAGACACAGGCTTTGTAGCCACAGATCAATATGTTGCTTTGTTTTTCATTTTCTCCTTCTTTCTTTTCTTTTCTTTTTTTTTTTTTTTTTTTTTGAGACAGAGTCTCGCTTTATCTTCCAGGCTGCAGTGCAATGGATGGCACGATCTTGGCTCACTGCAACTGCCACCTCCCAGGCTCAACCAATTCTCCTGCCTCAGCCTCCCAGGTAGCTGGGATTACAGGTGCCTACCATCAAGCCTGGCTAATTTTTTGTATTTTTAGTGGACAGGGTTTCAGCTAATTTTTTGTATTTTTAATAGAGACATGGTTTCACCACATTGGCCAGGCTGGTCTCAAACCCTGGACCTCAAGTAATCTGCCTGCCTTGGCCTCCCAAAGTGCTGGGATTACAGGCATGAGCCACAGCACCCGGCCATTTTCTCCTTACTTTCTTAATGAATCCAATTATGCTATTTTTTTCCCCTGAACACACTTTCTTCTTATGCCTTTGAAATACACACAGACAAGTATATCACAAGGAAAAGTACAGATGTATCTGTTAATGACTTTTTATTCCCCTGATTATAATAACTTTTGCTTAGGTTACACACACACATATGTGGATATATGTGCAGATACATATATCTATACACACACACATATGTGTATCAGTCATTTTAATCAGGGAGAAAAAAGATCATCAACAGAAAACATCTAAAGAAAGGAAATAGCTGAATCCAATCTTTTCCACAAATAATACAGCAGATATGAGATGATAGTGGAAGGGAAAAGGGTGTGTAATTAGAGGACCTGAATTTGAGGCCAACCTCTGCTTCCTCTGATCTGTGAGGTGTTGAACAAATCACTGTCCCATTTTGAGTCTCAAATGTTGTACCAGCTAAGTGAAAACTATAATACCTGCCTTGCTCGTTTCCGTTATTGTCGTGAGAAGTAAATTAGATAAGGTGCCCTTTAAATGTTAAACAGGTGAGAAAAAATATATAAATATTGAAAGTGACATCTCTTTTCTTTATGAACAAAATTAACTTGCAAACTAAAATTGTATGTATGTGTGTTTAAATTTCAAAGCTTTAGAAATTAAAAGTGTAATATCCTTTCTTGAAAAGAAAGAACTTTGCCCATTTGATTTTATTTTGCGTGCTTTGCCATGAAAACAAATGTAGAAATTCCTCCTCAGAGCAACTCTCAGAGAACAGGAAGGAGCCCAAATCCATGAGCCAGGATCGGGGTCCCATGCTGTGTTCCACAGAGCACTGCCTGAATGCGGCTGCTTTGCTCTTTGATCCAAGTGCCTCCTTAGAAGGTTAACAAACAGAGTGGTCCTTGGTTAGACCCTTCCACGAGATTTGTGTCACTTTTGCTTTCTTTATTTTGTTCATTCTCTTTTGCACTTTTTTTTAAAGTTCCACACGATTTTTTCCTGCTTACAAGTAGAATGGGTGGTGAATTGGACATATCAGGCAAAGAAGTGAGGGGAAGTGAAGGAGAAAACAGGCTGTAGACTCTGCTCATCCCTGTGCACCCCCTACATGAGCATGGGGCCAGGTGATTCATAACAACATCCCCCAGCACCTGACTGTGTGTGGAGGGAGAACCTCATTGTCTGGGAAGATGACTCTCTCAAGAGTTGGCTGACAGTGATTATTGTCTTTGTTTCATGAAAACGAGACTCAGAGAGGAAGTGACTTGTCTCATTTCTTCTTCTGTAAAATCGCTCTTGCAATGCAGACACTGTGAGCCATGGATGAAATGACTTTAGGGCCTGAAACAGTGCCTGTGTGTGGCTGGCACTCAGAGAATGCTCATTGAATTAAAAAAACAAAAAGGATCACACACATGCAGAAACCCATACTCTATGAGCTGGCATTCAAAGCCAGTCTTCGCCAGACTAGGATCTGAAAGAACATTGTCACTCCTTACGGGCTGTTGACTCATTCATTCAGCAAATATTTCCTCATTCCCTACTCTGGGCAGGGCTTAGTTGGGTGCCGAGACTGTAGCAGAAACCAAGACTCAGTTCCTTGCTAGGACTTCTCATTGAGCAGGGGAGATAAGACTATTGCACAATGGATCAGGTAACTTCAACTTTAACACATTTTGTGCAGAAGTACAAATTGGAAGGAGGGTAGGTAAGGGGAAGGCCTGACTTTGGGGATTCAAGGAAGGCATTTAGAGAGCATAATGGGTGAGCATGCTTTGCAGGATGAGCAGGTCAGGTGTCCCAGGTAGAGGAAGAACATGAACTAAGGCCTCGCAGTGGGAGGAGAGTGCCTGGGAGGCCCCAGAACACAGACAGGAGACACACAGGGAAGACTGGAGGATGAGCCAGGAGACCACAAAGGCAGGATGGGGCTGGGTCACACAGGGGCCTTCCTCTTCCTGGCCTTTCAGTTTACTAAGAACACTGGAAGCAGTTAAATATTAATAGTTTAAAGATGGAAGAGAGGTCGCATGAGACGATACTATCAGAGACGTGTGAAGCAGAGCAACTCCATCTTAAACAGTAGCTGGGTCAAATGAGGCTGAAGCCCACTGGACTGCATTCCCAGATGGCTAAGGCATCCTAAGTCACAGGATGAGATAGGAGGTCAGCACAAAATACAGGTCATAAAGACCTCGCTAATAAAACAGGTTGCAGTAAAGGAGCCGGCCAAAACCCACCAAAACCAAAATGGCCACGAGCGTGACCTCTGGTTGTCGTCACTGCTACACTCCCATCAGTGCCATGACAGTTTATAAATGTCATGGCGATGTCAGGAAGTTACCCTATATGGTCTAAAAAGGGGAAGCATGAATAATCCACCCCTTGTTTAGCATATCATCAAAAAATAACCATACAAATGGGCAACCAGCAGCCCCTGGGGCTGCTCTGTCATTCTTTTATTTTTTTTACTTTCTTAATAAACTTGCTTTCACTTTGCACTGCGGAGTCACCCTGAATTCTCTCTTGCACAAGATCCAAGAACACTAGCTTGGGGTCTGGATTGGGTAACAGTATCATTTTTGTTTTCAAAAGATTTGTCTGCCTGTGATAAGAAGAATAGAGTGTTCATTTTGGTATCATCTTTAGCTCCTGACTGGAGGCCCAATAAGTGTCAGGAACTGGACAAATCTTTACATGATGTCTTCTCAATAATGTTGCAAGGCAGGAACATTCACTTTGGATTGAAAACATGAGAAAACTGAGGCACAAGGGAATTCAGAAATGTGTAAAGCCAAGTAACCAGTCAACACTGATACTCAGTCTCAACTGGCCAAAACCACTCCGTGATTCTGGCAAAGCCACACCTGCCATGAATGCAGTGTCAGATCCTTAGTAGGTGCCATGCACTACTAAACCATACTCATTTGTTATTTCATGAATGGACAGAAAAACACATGTATGAATGAATGGCTAATGCCAAATGTGTATGGAGAGATGGGTGTAGAAGGAACAGAGAACCAATGAAGTCAATGATAATAGACTGACTAAAAAACAGGTTGAATTCCCTGGTCCAGTGGTTCAGCTGCTTCATCACAGGGCAACCTTACCAGGCACTGAGTAGGTTAAAGCCTGGCTCAGTGCCAAGTATGAAACTGAGGCTGCTGGCCCCTTTCTTGCCCTTTCCCACGACACCCTGGGCAGGTCTGGAAAGAGAAGTGACCACTCACTCAGTACTTTGCACCACAGGGAAGGATCCCATCCGTACATAAGAACTCTGCACGCCATTCTCTCTCTTCCCCAAGATTTCCTTCACACTGAACAAATCCATCAGGTCAAAACCTGTTCAAAGAGAAAAGCTGGGAGTGAGTTTGGAGATGGAAGAGTATAAAGGACAAAGAAAAATCACATCTGCTCTCTGCAAAGGCAGCCTGCCCCTCCTGCCCCAGGAGAACAGATCGGGAGGGAATTGTTCAAATACATATTCAGGGAGAAAACATAAGCACCGGAGTAATGAGATGTACAGCTTCGGCTTCAACTCCAGGAAAAAGGTGCAGAAGAACACAGACACTGGCTTTCTCAAGAAAATGTGTGTGCATGTGGTTAAGTGTGAGACAAATGGAGGGTGTCCTGGTTGTGTGAGTGCCGCAGGGCCCTGGTGTTCACGAAGCCCAGATGTGTGCTCTTCGCTCACGCAGGCTGGCTCTGCGGGCAAACGGCCACCGAGGGCTTTCCTTTCTGCAGCCGTATTTTTGCCTTGCATTTGGACTTTACTTGGGTGATAGTTTGGCAGCTTTTAAGTTTCATGATTTTTAAAGAGAGAAACATCAGAGAGGAATAAACTGTCTTCATGAGACTGCATTACTTGAAAGGATTTTGTTTTGTTTTTCCTTAGTTCAGTTTAATTTTCCTCTAAGAGAGGACCTTATATGCATTGTCAATGTAAAGTAACAGAAAAATCAGGGGCTTTGGACTTGGGTGAGGGTCAAGGGTAAGGGATGGGGGTTTGGTCCTGAGCAGCCATGTGTATGTGACACTGGGCAAGTCACATGACTCACAGGAGTCTCGCGTACTTCACCGTGGAAGGACAGCAATGATGCCTACTGGGTAGGGCTCTGTGACAATTGTGTAAGACCCTAAATATGCGTACTCAGCATATGGTGAGAAATTCATACAGTGGGTTTCTTTTTATGAGTTATTTCCCACAACCACCAGCACATGCTCGTCCACATTCCCCCACAGTGGGATGCTTTCTGCAGACCAGGTTCTCAGAGGGGCCTGAGGACAACACTTGTTCTGGAGGCTAACATTGTGACTCAACACCCGCCTGAAACTGTCTCTCTCAGACACTGGCAAAAGCTCTCAGCAGGTTACAGGGAAGCTGGCTAAAGGTAGGCACCAGGCTGAACCCATCTGTGCACCCCCAGGGATAATATACTTCTCAGTATTGGCACCTAACCTATGAGACTTTAGGAAGAGTTCCTCACTGTTTCCAGTATTCTAAGGCACCACTGAAAAAAAAGAAAAAAGAAAAAAAAAAACAGGAAATGAACTTGTAGAACTAACATAATGATTGAAGCCTCTTGGCCTCTTTTACCACTAAATTCTGCCCAAAGAGATTATTTATTCATTCAGTATACGCTTTTGAGAGCCAGGTCCATGCCAAGCGTTGTGTGAGAAATGCCAGGGAGGGAAGCAGGTAGTCCTGATGCAAAGTTCGAGTATTAGAATCGGACAGGTCTGGGTTGTGATCCTAATCACCATGTCTTTGCTGGGTGACCTTAGGCAGGTTGCCTGACATCTCTGAGCACTGGTTTTTTCCATCTGTAAAAAGGGGATTATTTTAGAATGTACCTCATCACTATGAGACTTAAATGATACAAAGTTCTTCATAAAGTACCTGACATACAGTAAATCACCAACAAAGCACTTTTCATATTTACTGTTTTCTCATCACAATTGCAGCATTCTCTAACGCTAAATTTTGTCCATAGATGTCATGTATTTATTCAATAGATCTTTTTGAGAGCTTGCAATGCGCCAAGCCCTGTGAGCTCCACGGTTGCAGCAGGCACCAACACAAAATCCTGGCTCCAGGAGAACTGGAACTGGTGGGGACCCCAGGAAATAAGGAAATGCACAGTGCAAATGTGCAGTACGATTCCAGGCACAAAGAATCAGTGAGCAGGGGCAGCACTGGAGAGGAACAGGGCTGGGGTGACAGGGAAGGTGCTCGGGGAGGAAGCTACCAGGTAGAGGCCTGCTCTGGCCTGCGATGGTCTGGGAAGGGGGTTCTGAGCAGGGCAAGGTTGCTCTGGGATTGAAGCCCTGCGCTTTTTGGATTGTACCGTTCCCCGCCCCTTGCCATCCTGAGGTTGTCAAGTTCTCGGAAAATGACTAAGAGCTGCCATTATGTCATTTTTAAATAGCATTTCACACACTGGCTATTTAATGGAATTCATGATATAATGTTAAATGATATTGGGTCCTTAAGATGGGAACAGTATTTAGAAGCTTCATTATAGATAGAAAAAGCACCCCTCCAAACCGTGCTCGTTTACACACACTAGTGTGAGTGATTCAGCATCTCTGGAGACGGTTGGTTTGTGGGAGGGAGCAGGCACCACAGTCCCACAACCGAGGTCCCCTGTGGTGCATGGGTTGATCCAGCTGAGAGGCCACCACTGGGCACAGGCTGAGCGAGGCCAGCTTTCCTCACCTGCTAGCTGCTTGAGGACAGGACGTGGCTTGCTGAGTTCGCCACCCGATCCCCCATCCTCGGGACCTGCAGGGCCAGCCCACAGTGCAGATTTGTCAAACTGAACACAGGTCTCACTCTGAGCTGTAACACAGGCTTGGTCCCTGGCAGAGACTGTGTGGAGGAGAGAACACCCAGCACATGGACCAGATATCGTGAGTGAAGTCCTACTAATGCGCTGTGTGGCCTTGAGCACAAGCCTCAACCTCTCTGGGCTTGTTTCCTCTGCAGTTTTGTAAAATTGGGATAATAATAACACAGTGTAGTAGACAAGTAAGGGCTATGATAATAATTCACATGCAAATCCCTGTTCCCACACTTTCTCTCCCTGCCAGCTCTCAGGCAATTTACTAACCTCTCTGCACCTCATGTCTTCATCCACCAAATGGGACATTAAGAATAACCACTTGGCCAAGCCAAGTGGCTCATGCCTGTAATCCCAGCACTTTGGGAGGCCAAGGTGGGCAGATCACTTGAGGTCAGGAGGTCAAGACCAGCCTGGTCAACATGGTGAAATCCTGTCTTTACTAAAAATACAAAAATTAGCCAGGGGTGGTGGTGGGTTCCTGTAATCTCAGCTACTTAGGAGGCTGAGGCAGGAGAATTGCTTGGACTCGGGATGCAGAGGTTGCAGTGAGCTGAGATCGCACCACAGCACTCCAGCCTGGGTAACAGAGAGAGAAGAGAAGGAAAGGAAAGGAAAGGAAAAAGGAAAGGAGAAAGGAAAAAGGAAAAGAAAAAGGAAAGGAAAAAGGAAAGGAGAAAAAAGAAAAGGAAAAGGAATAGGAAAAGGAAAAGGAAAAGGAAAAGGGGAGGGAAGGGGAGGGGAGGAGAGGGGAGGGGAAGGAGGAAGGGGAAGGGGAAGGAAGGAAAAGGAAAAACCAGACACCAGGCCTGGACAGGACAATGGCCCTGCACAGTGTCTGCCTGTCTGCCAGTGGCAATACATTCTGACTCTACTATTAGACATTCATGTCTTGGAAAATCACTTTGAGTTTTAAATGAGAAAATGTGTAGGAACATGCCTGAAACACAATAGTTGCTCACTAAATGCTGGATGCTCTAATGGGTCCCTCTCCCTGAATGAGAGCATGATCACTCCTCTAAACCTTCACAAGCTCTAGACAAACATGCAGCATGGAGAGGTGGGTGGGTCTCCCTGATACCAACATCCTGTGATCCTGGCTGAGTCACTTTCTTTCTGAGTATCAGTCTCCTCATCTGTAAACTGGGAGAATTTCGGGTGCAATTGGATCATCTCTTGTGTTTTTAGCACCAAAAACTATTGATCATATTTCCCCCAATTTGTGCCATGGCTGGAAGGAGTCCCAGTCAAACTGCATTTCTTGCATAACAGTTCATTTGAATGTGCAGTTTTATGCAGTGAAGAATCCCTTTGTTCAGTATGCCAGGAGACAGGAGTTAACAGAACAGCCACAGTTCCTACTCAAAGCCATGGGGTTAATCCCAGGTAAAGGTACAATGCACATTGGGCATTAGCAATGTTTAACGCAGCCCAAGGCACTCTACTCCCACACAGAGTTCCAGCTAGGAGACTGAGGAAGTCATCTGGTTTTGTTGAGCCTGTTTCTGTAATTGGAAAAATGGAGAGAATAATTTATTGCAGGGGTGTCATAAGACCTAAGTGTGATGATGGGATTCAATACCTGGGGGATCAGCACCCAGGAGTTCCTCAGTCAACCCCACTGTCCCCACCTAGGGACCACAATGGGAACCTGTTGACCCAAGTGAAGCTTGATCCCCTGGCAATAGCTCTGCCACGACCCCAGAGCCCCGTGTCTCTCACTCTGGTTATAAGGACCAGGCCTCCAGGGTGCGTGACTGGGAACAGCCACCACGCCCACCAAGGAGGGAGTCCTGGGAAGTCCCAGAGATCCTAAGTTGGGTGTTGGGAAACATTTGCCGAACCCAAGCTGAGAGCACCCCTTCTCCTTTATCTCCCCACTGCACTGCTGTTGGCACAGCCGCCAGCCCACCTGAACAGGGCCTCAATGCCCCAGAGGCTGCAGTCTCAGTATTACCTAGAGACAGAAGCATGAAGAGTCCCCACAGCTCTGGGCTCCCAAGCAGGCCCAGTGAGGAGCAGCTGTTGGAACTGACTGGGCCCCATATAACGAGGGGCCTTTTACAACCCACTGGGCTGCCCCTGTATTGGAGCCCCTGTGTCTGGAAGTGTCCTGGGGCCTGAGAAGCCTCAGCAGTGGGAGGTGCAAAGTCAGAGCCGGGAACTGCAAAGTGGGCTGGGCCTCTACTTCACAGCACCATCAAACACCACTAAAAACTGACACCCTCATCTGCTTTTCCCCTCAGCAGTCATACTGGAGAGAATATATGAAATAGACTTGTTTTCAAAAAGCAAGCCTATGCTCTACTTTCTGGTTCCACTTTTATTGGTTTCAGTGAACAAAAACAAAGAGTTGAATACAACAAAACTTGGAACAACAAGGAATTAACTAGGTGGCAGCAAAGGGCACCAAGAAAAAAAAAAAGATAAATTGCCCAAAATAAATAAGGGCTGGGAAGGAGAATAAAAAATGTTCCCGAGGAAAGCAGGCTGTGATGC